ACCCCGAGCCCACGTGCCCGGATTCCGAGATTTTTCGAAGGAAGTTGTTCTCTACATCCTAAGGATCAATAATATATGATTTCTAATTTATTCCATAACAAATTTTGTGGTTAAATCTAACTTTTATTAAAACCCTAGGTTTTTACACTAACCCCATGATTTCACCTTAATACTAGTGTTTAATCTACCCAAGACATAAGAAATAAACTAGAAATGGGTAGGACTAACTTACCTCAAGATGCTTGGTGAAGGTTTTCTCTCAAGAGCTCTAAAATCGCCAATGGAGGAGTGAAAAGTGTCAAAAATTGGTTTGGAACCCGTATTAAATGAACCTCACTACTTCAGCGACTTCCGCATCTGCGATCAGGGGACTGCATCTGCGGTCCTGCATCTGCGAGAAATAAACCGCATCTGCGAAATGGGGCAAAGGAGCTGGGACCGCTTCTGCGGTCTCGAGGCCGCATCTGCGGCTTGGGAGCCGCTTCTGCGGTTCCTGGCCTGGCTGCCCTGGGCCGCTTCTACGATGAAGGGACCGCTTCTGTGGTCTCGCACCTGCAGTCCACCAACCGCAGGTGCGGTTATGATAGAAGCAGCAAATTTCAGCTCTTCTAAAAAAATTTGTACTTCACTCGAGCCTCGTCCGATTGACGCTCGGGGCTCCCGGGCCCCGTCCGAACATACCGACAAGTCTGAAATCACGAGACGGACCTACTCGAACCTTCGGAACACCCGAAACAACGCTAAATCTAGGAATCACACCCTAAAACCAAATGAATCAAACTTATGAACTTCAAGTTCTAAATTTTCCTCCAACGGGCCAAAATGCCCTTAAACTACTCGGATTGACACCAAATTTTGCGGGTAGGTCTTTAATGATATTTCGGACTTGTACCGGGCTTCGGAACCAACATACGAGCCCGATACCCATGAAATCAATCATTAGCTAGTTTCTTTAAATCCTTAATATTTCAGATTAACAATTTCTAATAAAAATTCATTACTCGGGCTAGGGACCTCGGGATTCGATTCCGGGCATACGCCCAGGTCCCATATTTTCCCGCGGACCCTCCGGAACCGTCAAAACGCGAATCTGGGCCCGTTTGCCCAAAATGTTGACCAAAGTCAAACTTAGCCTTTTAAGGAAATCCTAAAGAGTCAAATGTGCATATTTCAATCCAAACTCTTATATATCCCGAACCAACCATCCCCGCAGGTCGTAAATTAGTTAAAGCGAGCACGGAGAGTTTTATTTGGGGGAACGGGGTTCTAAAAAGGCAAACGACCGGTCGAGTCGTTACATCCTCCACCTCTTAAACAGACATTCGTCCTCGAACGGACATAGAAAGGCACCTGAAGTGCTGAATAGATGAGGGTATCTGCTCCGCATGTCCTCCTCGGACTCCCAGGTCGCCTCCTCGACTGGTTGGCCCCTCCACTGGACCCTCACTGCAGAAATCCTCTTGGACCTCAACTGGCAATCCTGCCTATCAATGATGGCAACTGGCTCCTCCTCATAACTCAAACTCTCATCTAGATAAATAGTACTGAAGTCTAACACATGGGATAGGTCGGGATGATACTTCCGAAGCATCGATACATGAAAAACAAGATGAACTCCCGATAAGCTGGGGGGTAAGGCAAGCTCATAGGCAACCTCCCCAACTCGTCTCAACACCTCAAAGGGGCCAATAACCTTGGGCTCAACTTGCCTTTCTTCCCGAACCTCATAATACCCTTCATTGGCGAGACTTTCAAGAGAACCTTCTCGCCAACCATGAATGATACATCACGCGCCTTCTGATCCGCGTAACTCTTCTGTCTGGACTGGGCTGTGCGAAGCCTCTCCTGAATCAACCTTACCTTATCCAAGGCATCCTGTACCAAATCTGTACCATATAACTTAGCCTCGCCAGGCTCGAACCATCCGATAGGAGAACGACAACGGCGACCATATAAAGCCTCGTATGGAGCCATCTCTATGCTGGACTGATAGCTGTTATTGTATGCAAACTCCGCTAAGGGCAAGAACTGGTCCCACTGCCCTCCAAAGTCAATCACACAGGCTTTAAGCATATCCTCCAGAATCTGAATCGTCCGCTCGGACAGCCCGTCGGTCTGAGGATGGAATGCTGTGCTAAGCTTTACACGGGTCCCCAACTCACTCTGAACGGCTCTCCAAAAATCGGAAGTGAACTGAGGGCCTCTATCTGATATAATGGATACAGGCACACTGTGCAACCGGACTATCTCCCGAATATAAATCTGAGCATACCTCTCTGCTGTATAAGTAGTCGCCACTAGAATAAAGTGGGCTGACTTGGTCAGCCTATCAACGATGACCCATACTGAATCAAACTTCCGCAAAGTCTGCGGCAAGCCAACAACGAAATCCATGGTAATGCGCTCCCACTTCCACTCTGGTATAGGCATCTGCTAAAGTAGGCCACCCGGCCTCTGATGTTCATACTTGACCTGCTGGCAATTCAAACACCTAGCCACATACTCCACTATGTCTTTCTTCATCCTCCGCCACCAATAATGCTGCCTCAAGTCACGATACATCTTCGTAGCCCCCGGGTGGATGGAATACCGCAAACTGTGTGCCTCCTCTAGTATCCTCTCCCTCAGACCATCAACATTAGGAACACATAGACGACCCTGGAGCCGCAAAACACCATCCTCGCCAATAGAGACCTCCTTGGCACCTCCCTGAAGCACCGTCTCTCTAAGAACCGCCAGATGTGGATCATCGAACTGTCGGGCCTTTATCTCCCCCAATAATGAAGACTGAGCAACCATACACGCAAGAACCCGGCTGGGCTCCGAAATGTCCAACCTCACTAGTCAGTTAGCCAAGGACTGAATGTCCCAGGCTAGTGGCCTCTCCTCTGCTAGAATGAATGCCAAGCTACCCATACTCTCTGCCTTCCTGCTTAAGGCATCCGCGACCACGTTCGCCTTGCCCGATGATAAAGAATGGTGATGTCATAATCCTTCAGCAACTCAAGCCACCTGCCTGCCTCAAATTAAGATCCCTCTGCTTAAACAAATGCTGCAAGCTACGGTGATCAGTATAAACCTCGCATGAAGCCCCATACAGGTAGTGCCTCCATATCTTAAGAGCATGAACAATTGATGCCA